TGAAGTCGGACATGGTACGTAATCGCAACAAAAAGCGTCTTCTCGTCATTCCCTTTGTGCTGTGCAGGGAAAAGGCGGCCGTTTGAGCCATATGACGTACCAGCCAGTCGCAAATGACCGGGATGCTGGGGATAAGGAAACACTTAATGACCGCTGTGTCTCCCAGACGCTCTCCCCAGCATCAGGCGTGGGGAATATCTGATCTGGTCTTACAACATCACACTTAGTTTTTACGGCCACTCAAGCATCTCACAAACTGTTGGGAGTTTTGGTGTTAAGCTCCACGTGACCACGTTCACGGACCCTGCTGTGTAGGTGTTGATGGTGTTGTTACGAGCAAGATCATGTTTTGGCAAGGTTACAGAGTCAGTCGGTCGGAAAAATGTTTTGCATATATTGAATATGAAAATGTCCGACTCCAAAGCGTCCTATGTTTCGGGGACCTGTCCAGTCTGCAAGGATCAGACTATATACAATGGCACCTTTAGTTCGGTGAACGTGATGTCAAGGCTAGAGACAACAGAAATGGACCACATATGCCAATCCATTTTTGATCTTACAAGAGGAATCTGGTAGAAGAACAGCAGTAGGCTTAAAAGAAAGCCCTCAAGTATTATAAAATTCAAGGCCCACACGGAACGCCCTAGACGTCGAGGGTAAACTCCATCCTAAGAAACGTAAAGAAGTCAACCTCTTGGTCTTTGTGGATCTATTACCCATGATGCCTCCAGAGGGTGACGTGAGAGCACGATAACTGGCACTTAACGAGGAAAGGGACAATAGAAGAATTCATTGTATAAAATGTGCAGGCCTTCGCGCCTGGAGGCCAGGAGAATAGAAAGGAAAGTAAATCCACAGGAAGTGAATAAGTAAGTCAAATTCCTGACCAAATACAGTTCTGCAGTTGCGCGCATCAATATATATGTACGCAAATAGTGCAGGCGGGTTCTGGGAGAGACTAGCAATGTGCTTGTGACAGAATCCTAGACTGGCCGCGGGGGCGCCGCGCGTCCTGGATTCAAAAGAATTTCAGTCAGTTTGTCAATTTTCACTCGTCGAGTATTAAAAAGCCTCCGCATAGGCAACATCTGATCAATAAATTCGTCAATATTGATTTCCTTCCTCAAAAATCGGGACTGTAACGCTTCAGCCTTTTCGTCTTCTTCCGCGTTAGCGGCTTGCATCAACTCCAGCATAGCATTCGCCGAATAGGCTGAGTTTAATTTATCTAAATGGTTGGCAAATCAACTTGAATTCTGTTATGCTTACCTAGCTTCCCCTTATAACGCTTGTAGGACTCCAACTGTTCGGCAAACCCCTTGTGTGCTTCAATCAGATCAGTCTTCATCTTCGTGAGCTCAGGCTCGAGGCTGAGGTTGTCTGAAGCCTTTTGGTTGTTACTCTTAAGAAGGCTCTTTCTTTTTCTTTCTAAGTCCTCCACCTAATAGTGGGTATCCCGAATTAGATAAAAGCATACCATCGGGCTCTCCTTCGCCATCTTCTTTATTTGCGCATCGTTATCAAGCAGAGTTTCTAACTCGCTTTTAGATAAATTTGCTAGTTTTTCGGAAAAGGTGTCCACGCCCATGCCGTTGTAGATCATCACTAAATACTAGATTATAAAAAAGTAGGCAAAGCTTATGCTAATCTCCGGCAATGAGTACTTTAATTCAATATAAGAATATCGGAAACAGAGAAGACCAAGCAGGAGTGGAAGGGTGGGAAACATGTGGAAGGACGGGAAATGGGAACAACACAACATAGGTTTACCGCCACATGCGAAGAACAAAACTTTGTGGTGAATAGAAATATTGAGCGCCCGAGCGGCGATCGGCAAGTCTGATATTTTGCTAAATTAAGTTAGGCAACACGGTTGGGTGCATGAATGGGATATTTGCTATATAAAGGATAAACGCGCAAGTACATAGTGGACCAATGGCCGGGTTAAGTGGAAAGACCCAGGCAACCGTGCTGGGCCGAAAGATTTGTAGAATTCGTTTGCTATAGAAGCCCCAGAAGACCAAATGCGCACTCAGCTAAACAGCATTCTAGTTTAGCGCCTTCGAGTTTCGTCAACTTCATCTCGGTTACATGGCTTCGAGGATGATGCGCATCATCCTTTGGTTGCAACTTACCGCTCGGCGCCGAGCGGTAAGTTGCAAACAAATAATGAGTTAAAAAGGGCAGAGGCTTAAAGCGTGAAAAGAATGCAAGGCAAAATAATGTTTGCGCGAGGTATCAAAATATCTTGGAAGTTTTGGATGCGAGGCATAGCAATTTTGCGATATTTCCGTTTCGCTTTAAAACGAAGCTTAAAAGATTAATGGATTTCAGACTTTACCCGAGTTGTCTTTAGAAAGGTTAGATCGAACTACTAAAACATTTTGACGGTTAGGAACTCTACTATACAGCAAGATAGGGCAGAGTAACCTACACAATCGTTCCAGACAGTAGTCTCAGAGTGGGTAGTTCCCTATCACTATTTTGCTTTTTCCGCCCGAGTTGCAATCGAGTAAAAATCTAATGAAAGCTTTTCAATAATTTCCTGTTAGTTTCTTTGTATGGTTAATTAGATGGTACTGCCTGCCCTTGTCGGGTTTCTCGCAATTTGTAGGACTTCTCCTAAGATGGTTTCATTGGCTTTTTTAAGAAGCCGACAGCACGGCTCTTTGACAGCCCCAATAAGTAGTACCTAAAACATATTGGATCCACTCCCGGTTCCAGTCAGTACATTGTTTTTTTTTCAGGCATCATTATCCTCCTTCATTTTGACATTTGCTAATTCGCGCGTACGTAGTCCACTTTCTGCACTCTTTTATGTGTCGTCCCGGACTGGGATATAATGCATAACGTTAACATGGGCTTTACAAATAAGAATACAGGTTCGGGGCCATTTTTTAAAATTTTAGTAAATTTCACCTAGACATGTGCCAGCTAATTTTCTGTCCGACGGGGTTTTAAATATGCTGTATCATCGATCTCTACGTGAATTGTTCTGCGGGCTCTGCCTGCTGTCTTTGATCCTGTATCCGCGTTGAACGACTCTGAAATGTACTGCTTTTGAGCCTTTTTGAACATATTGGTACAGTGGTTCAGGCAACCAATTCGCCAGATGGAAGCGAATATGGAATATATTTATTTGCATGATCCTGTCAACAACTGACACCGGCTGACGGGTTTGGTTAAGCGTCTTTTGACGTGGCCATGGCCACTCCTATTTTGTGGAAATATTAGAATATATTTCAGTCGTTCAAGTGGACGTTTTACATTTGTATCACAGCATTTACATAAATATAAGTTTATTCATCCAGAACGTATCCCGAAGCCACAGTTCTTGGGCGATGACAATGTACTTGGACGAACTGATTAGGACGCTTTACCTAGGTGATCCACTTGGACGCGATTAATCTACTGTTCTGCCAGACGGGGTTACTGCAGTTTCCGTATCCTCCGCATGTTCATGACAAAGTGGTACGTCACCCTAAGTCGATTCCATGTCCGTAAAGCCCTTACGTTCTTACTTAGGCCATTAGTAATAAATATTATATCATGCATGCTGGAAGTCGGTTTATTAACTGAATAGCTACTCACATCTCACATCAGGTATTTAAAATAAACATATAAATTGTTTTATTGAGAACCCGTGGGGATACTTTTATTGCAAATAAAAATACTGTTTAAAGTGAATTTAATAAGAGGTAGACATACCCTGTAGTATTCAGCGCGTGATTATAACGCAAGCAATCAGATATTCAAAAATGGTCAGCCAGCAGTAAAATAAAGCTTTCTTCTGAAAAATAAAAAATGAACGTAATTTGATTAGCTTTAAAGGAGAAAAACTGCCGTTCTTGGAAGGGAAAGTATGCTGGTCGGACAGGACTGGCCTACTTACGAATTCCGCATGGAGACCATAATGTCAGTATCCACAACGAAGAGGTTGTTTCGGATGCTGCGGCTCCCCCCTTCAGAGACACCCAAGGGCGCTACGGGAAAGTCTCCGAACTTGCATTAGCAAGCTTCTGTTTGTTTATGTCTTTAGTGTGGTCTGTCAGAGTAAATGATCAGTTTGCCACATCGACCAACCCCAAAATGTGCGCTCAATTGCACCCTGACGGAATGAAGATCTCTAAGACGTCTGGTCAATCTCTGCAGAAATTCTCGCTAGTGGTCGCCACCCCGTTGTTTGTCAGTTTTACGTTGTTGAGGGGTTCTCCGTTTCCGGCAAGCCCGAACCGTTGGATGACTTTCTCGGTGACCATGTTGGTGAGCTGAAAGACATTCTGGCTTGTGGTCCGCGTGTTCCACGTAGGGCAAATGTCGTGAAGGGTAATTTAGCCAATGCTAATTGGGACACATCTGCCCTCCGTTACGTACGGACCATTAAAGCTCCCAATGGCTACTACGAGTGCGGCAGGTAGGTTGTTTCGTAGATCTAACTACAATCACCACATGTGGTTTCATAAAGGCACGCCCATTGCGAACCGCATGACATTCCCAGTGTACACTGGGCGTCTGCGCGACTGTTGGTCATTCAGGTTGCGAAGCCAGGTACTTCACCACAAAGGTAGGTCTCCGTTCGAGGATTTACCCATCGATATAGTTGCTTCGTTCCCAATCAAATACATACACATAGTTTGCCTGGGTATCATGCGAAAATTGCTGCACATTTGGCATCTGGGCTCCAACAAGCTCTCCGATTCATTGAGTGCGTCTGCTAAGATACGCAGTCAGTGTTCGCCGGCCGAGTTTTCACGGAAGTATAGCATGTATGTAAGTATGTATATATTTTGAGGGTTAGGGGCAGAGCCCTTGATGACCCTATTTATGTACAGTGCTTTCGCAGATTCGTACTCAAAAATAAAATTGCAGGCATTTACAATGTGATCGAGTCACAGTTCAATCGTAATCATAAGGTAGTGCATAAGGTCACTGTAAATAATTTCGGATGATTTTTTTACAAAAATGGCTGGGCATAGTCATGCTGTAAAAGCCGACTTCTGTCGAAAACTAGACGAGCAAGTTTTATTTTAAACACACAAATTGTGCTGTCCGTCACCATCTCGCTTTGAAGCGAGTTCCACGGCCTGACAACCCGCTGGCTGAATGAAAATTTTCGACGATCTAAGCGCGTGCGCTCATTCACGACTTTGGAGGTATGGCCGCGTATTTGGTTTGTACGGGCAAACTCAAAGAAGTCCCCTGTTCTTAATGAGCAACCCTGTCCGCGGACTATCCGGAACGTCCATAGTAGACTGCAGTTTATTTGTCTATAAGAAAGGGAGAATAAGCCAAGCAAATTCAGCCTATCCTGATAAGACAAATGCTTTAGACCGTCGACCGTCATTGTCGCTTTGCGTTACACCTGTTCGAGTAAGTTGATATCCTTCCTCATCCATGGTGAAGCTGCTGGCATTCCATACTCTAGATGAGGTCTTACAAAGACACCAAAAAGTCTTTCAAAGTGTTCGGGAGGAAATATTTTAAATGCGCGTCTGATCCAGTGTAAAGTACTAGTTGCTTTCTGGACCATCTTTCTACAGCGTTCTGTTGACGATAGATTTGTGGCCGTCCATACACCCAGATCTCTGTGTCTTTCCACCGTTTCTAACCTCGTCCCGTCAATATAGTACTGGTATTTGGGAGAGGCATTGCGGCCGGTGTTGTTGTCTGGCGTTTTTGAAAGTTGTCAAATACAAGCTATTTTTGCTGTACATTGGCCATGCCATTTTGTCCTTTTTTGGCAAAACCCGCTATAAATACATTTTATAAGTTTTCCTGGCCCAAAAAGCACACCTAATCGACAACCCATCAGCTTCGACTTGGGAGAACTGGCGGGAGCATGAGAACAGTGTACATGTCCCGTATCATTAACATTTCTTTGCATTTAAGCTTTCAGGCGGACGTCTGATTCAGACGATGATGACGACCTACTGTGCTATCCGAGGCAGCTACTTTGTTGGCCGACGCCACCCCTAATACTGCGCTAAGCATGATTATCATCAGTAATTTTTAGGCCAATATCTGATTAACGGATGCCGCACACTTTTATTCTGTTGAGTCTGCCAGTGCAGCCTTCGACACTAACTTCATACCGATGACCGCATTTTATTAATTATTACTCATTTTCGTCTACGGAACTGCCAGCACCTGTGTCAGTGCCACCTGCTCAACCGGTATGTTATCAACAGGCGCAGACGGACATGACTGACGTGAAAATTCACATAGCATCCTTCGACTAAGACTGCTGACAATCTCGTTGACAATCTATTAATAAATGAGCCGACTACCTGGTCTAGCAAATGGCCGCCAACAACAGTGTTCAGCAACTGTTGTCAATAATGGCGGATCTTCTCAGTAATTTGAAGGTGTCACTACTGTCGACGCCTGGCCTTCTCATCTGTGTCTGCCGTCGTGCACATCCGAAGCCTCTGAGGACATCGTTCGTCGGCTAATTACTGAGAAGCGGTCGGCAGATCAGGCGGTGGGTGTGAACTTGTTTAATTGCTTTTAAATGCATCAAGTGACCGTGGTAAGGACTAAATGAGAAGGAGTTTATTGAACGTCTCCTGACCGCCTTAATAGGTCTGACGCTGTGTTACACCTTCTGCCCTGGGGGAGGAGGGAGGGTGTGTAGATGAATCCAAGGGAAATCGGTCGTTCTTTGCTTGCCCGTTTTTTGACATCCTCAACGACAGGTCTTTTTTGCTTATTGGCACATACAGATTCCACTGACCAAAATCCCCGTTTTAATAACTGCGACAGTGAGTTAGTTCGAGAAACGACGATTAAATGGTTCCCCGGTTCGAAGAGTCGATGTAGAGGACGATCGAAACGCAAGTGCCATATTCATACGGCACGAAATTTTGTCTTAAATTATTGCCCACATGCGATCACTTTCAAGGAGTCCCCAGAATTAGCTTTGCGTGTCCAAAACTATCCCCTCAAGAACTGGGATGGCGAAATGAGAAAACCGCCGCTAACACAATTCATGCTTTCTTTCTCTTACACACTTTTTTCATAATCAAAATAAAGTACACTGCTAATTCCCTGAAAGAGGTTTACTTAAGATCTGGCGCCCTCAGTAGTAGTAAACCGCCTACCTCTCCTCAAAAACTGATTAGTCAGACGGACAGGTCACTTTACGTGACCCTCGTTTAACGGTTATGGGATTGCGTTAGATCCACATTTCACTGTGACCCGCATCACGTCCGTCTTCGTCGACGCGGAGATTATAAACGGCCCTAAGTACTTCGCGCCGCTACTGTCTCCCGCCAAGATGGTCCGCAAAACCAAATATGGACAGGCAAATTAATTTACCGGTGGACATCCGAGCTTCTTTGCCCCTACCTCGAGATTGTGGGCCAAAAGGATGATTACACGTTAAGGCGATGTAAAGACGCCTCAATGCCCATCGAAAGTTCAGTCAACAGCTACACTAATTGACCTGCCCCCTATTTGGTTTTATAAATATTCTCCACAGGAGACAGTGATGACTTGAGACATTTGAGGCCGCCCATCATCTTTGCAGTCCATAAGTGAAGGGCGACACTAGTCACATGGAAATGCGAATCCGATTCATCCTAACAATCGGTCAATGAGGGCCATGTGCATGAAGCTGTGTAGATGGCTTTCCAGTGTTTGAGAATGGGCAGACGAATTCACTGTTCTAGACGTCAGACATCCATCTAACGCACCCTGGTGGATGATTCATTTTGGCATGCAACCCAGGAATTGCATTTGCTATACTATGACTGTTATAAATTACCGCAGTGTCAATATCATTACATATGATTTACCGCATATCTTTTTTTGCAGGAGTCGACAGTATTCAATAGAAATGGTCCATTTATTGGTGCAGAAACCTTTTAATGTTCCATAAAGAACAGTTTCCTTGTATGTGTTTTTCGCACATATTGCTTTCACTTGCATATGCTCAATAAACCGTCGTTTCTAACAATTGTCTGTCCACTTTCCTATGTCGTGTGATAGAGTAAATGTTATCGCGGTTGTCCGGTTGCGCACTTATATGCGCCGATTATCGCTGGTTTGGTTTCGTCGGGTCTGACAGGATTAGGTGACACATTTAAGGATACAGCGATAGTAGATAATTTAGAATGAATGCATTCGCGGCTACAACAACGAGACCGTAAAGAGGGGAACGAACGAAGAATATGGAGTTCCGCCACGAGTTTCTTTTCAGATGGTGCGACTTGGTTCTCGTGTTGAATGACACGCCGTAGCCACGCCAGAGGGTCACTTCTGGCCTAATCATGGTCTCCTTTGGCCACAGCCGCCAGGGGCGGCTAGCCGAGGCTGGGGCTGGCAGGGAACAAATGCTGTTAATGCTAATTTTTCGGTGATTGATCGATCGGGCAATGTTTCTCTGACAGTGACAACCTGATCAGCATTCGAACAAGACCGGGAGGTGTAGAGGTCGAACGCTCTACGGGTTAGGACACAGGGCGCGACTCTAAATTTTCTAACCACATATAAAGCACAGAATTCAAGACCCTTCTGTCTCTTGAATCAGATGTCTGTCTCTTTTCACCTTCGCAAAGAGAAATGAGTTCACTTGGTCTCTTTCACATCCTCCGTTGTGCTAAGGCTTCCCTGCCTATAGGATCCAGATGCATGTGTGGTAGCGGATGATTTACGATGATTTTGATTGGCGGTTTTGGGACTTAGCATTGGAAAATTGAAGGCGGATCCGCGGACGAAGCTAGGGGCAAGCGTCCTTTAGGTGATTTTTATTTGCAGAAATGAGCGGTCAATGGTGGGCTATTTGTCATGGTAATATTTTGCATAATGCATGTCGCAGGCCGGAGAACGCAAAAGCGGGAAAGTTCATCCCACAGATGGAAAAACCTCGTAGATATAGCTGTGGGTGATATAGTCGAGTAACGCAAAACAAGATCGCCTGGTTAGTAAGGTGTTCCATGTGTTTGCGTATCGGAGTCTTCTTTTTGCTTCTGCTTGACGTAGCTTCAGGGACCGAGTGCTAGATCATGGGTCATGCTTAGAGTTCTTAGAGGAAGAGTACATCAGAACCTAGTGAATATATCTCTGCATAATACACACGGAATATTTGTACACGAGTATTCAAATATCTCATCTATGGACCATGTACAATGACGAGTGCCTTGTCGATGAATGAACCGTTGCTCGACAAGCAATTAAAATGCAACGCAATCTATATGGAGGGCAAGTGATGTTCGAAAAGCGCTGTTACGAGTCTTATGGGGGTGCGCTTCGTACGTCCAAATTATCGGTTGCCTTCTGGATGTGCCTGAGTCGTTCTTGGGTGGTTCGCCACATGTGTCCTGCACCAGACTGTCTTCAAAGTCAACTCTACAATTCGAATGAATTGGGGGCGAAGGGTCAAAACGAAAATTTAGTTGTTAAGGAAAGCATTTGTGAATGATAAGAATCTTTTCTGCAAAGCGGCACTGCTTCTATTCACATAGTAAAATAGTGAGGCGCAGGCAGAGTGTATGCTGTGAATTTGATCAAATATCCGAGCGACTGTGATCGGCAAAATTACTACTTGGCCGCTATTTTTGTGTTGGCCTGACTCACACGATCTAATTCATGGTGGAGTACGGTTATGACCAGAAGTACTAGACTGCCCAGGTCAGAAATCTATGGCGTAGCGGTTTGTTTAGCGGGGCACGCACGGACTCGGATCATCCTCTAAAGACGTCGTTGATACGCCAGTATGAAGCGGCACGTTGGTGGTTAGATTCAACGGCTGTGCGTGCGCCGTCACTTCGCGTCCCAACTCGGTGATAACGCGTGGGTTTGTTTGTTTATATCGCATTAATTGTACTACTTATCACACCATTCTCGTCAGACGGCGCCTCGCCAGAACGGTGGAGAAGCGCACCAGCGCTAGTGAGTTTAGTTTTTGAGCGGCAGTGACATAGACAGCAACCTGCTTGATATTTATGTGCCATCTGGCTAACTGGCTTTCTGTATCTTTCGTGTTCTGTCGTCTCCTATAGCTCCATGGTCGGCTCGAACGATAGAAAGTTTCCCGATTATAAAGTATGAAAGTGTTTGATAAACGTTATTATTGCGAAGGATTCGAGACAGCAGACGAAATAAATTTGTTACGATTTGGACAGCGTTACACTCAGGATGCAGGCAGGCCTCGCAGTTTCAGTTGAATCAGCCTGCGATATTATCCCGCCCATGGCAAACTCGCTGGACTCTGTATCACGTATAAGTGATTGTACGTCTGCGTCCATGTTCGACAGCGTGAATACTGGCGCAGACGCGTGAAGAGTTGTTGACTCATCAAAGGCGGCTTGATGTTCGTCAGTGTAAGTGAACTTGTGTCCTTTCCCTGTCAAGCGTTGCAAACTGCAGGACAAAATTGCGGCCATATTACGCTACCCCAAGAAAACAGTAGTTCTTTCGGGGACTTAAGAAAAGGCCATAGCTGCACCACACTAATTTTCCTCTACAGATCTCGTGTCCTGAATACAAAATTTTATCCCCTAAGAAATGCGTACTTATTTTATTTAAAACTTGGTTCTGCGTCGAAAAGCGCAGTTAAGACGGCCGTGTGTCTATGATTGTTGTACGATAGCGCCGAACAAAGATCACAGCGTCGCACAAGTTCACAAGACACTGAGTGGGAGAAAGGTGAACCAGAACGGGCTGCTTCCAGCGTTTAAATGCAGGTGGTTCATTGCGCAGACCAAATGACATTGTTTCGAATTCAAACAATTCCTGCAAGATGGTGAAGGCGACCTTGTGTTGATCCGTGGGTTCTACTTCGATCTGTCAGTATCCTGATTTACACCAAGTCTAAAAAGGTCAGTGTGCATCCGCTGACAAACCAGTGGTTGTGAAAAGGAAGCGCATGCAATCAACGCGCTTAAAAGTCCGTAATATGAGCGACGATGTAAGTTCCCGTCTTTCTTCTGCATAGGTGAAACGGGAGATACTCAAGATTAGTCATATTACTCGGTTTCGGATCGTTAAGTCAATTAGTTGAGTGTTCTTCTGGTGGAGGTGAGATGGTTTCCGTTTTGTGGCCGGCAGACCGGCTTGTCCCGGCTCATGTCGATGGAGTGTCGGAGATATGCAGTTCTGCGTAATAAATGTTCATTCTAGGCGAAGACCATGGAAAAGTCTGAAAGTAGTAATTGCAGTGCGTGGTGGGGTAGTACGGAGATATTCGAGGCGAAGGGAGAAACGATGTCCATGTGGACAACGGGAAGGTAACGGCAAATGGATAGCAGCATACAAGATCTTTGGTCAAACACAGGTTAACCGAACCTTTTGTCCCTTGTAGATATATGAGATTGTATAATGCGTTGTAAGACCCCGGTTTTTTGGTCGTATCGGCTGCAGTCAACACCTATAGGACATCCATCTTTAACTCAGGCACTGTCGAGTATGCATGCTCTCTACGCCCAGACTGAAGTTTGATTTACAATAAACTATGTCGATGCATTTCAGCGGGTTGCCATCTGCCCGAACAACGAGTCATGGATAGATGCGCTGGACCTACGCACGGGTCAAACTGGAGTCCGGCAGGGGTTACCGGGAATGCGCACCCATAGAATATGCTAACACTGGAGTGTGGCTCCAAACCGAGTTGACGGTTCACGCCGCACTATTTGGGACGCATGCAGTCCCTACGTTAGTTGTGGTATAAAATCATGGTCAGTGTACATTATGGACCAGGACGTGTGGTGACACGCTTGGTGCGGGTTTTCGTCGTGCCAGCCGCCTGTGCTCTCTCCCGCCTCTGATCTTCTTGACTTGGCAACGGCAGTCTAGTTGGGGGTGGAAAGTCTGCTGTAGATACTGCGCAAGTCTACCATCATTTAGTAATTCATGCACAAGTCAATGTCCTTGCTCACACTCCCTTGCGGAGCGAACAATGGACAAAGTCGGCAACGACGTTCGAACTGTAATTATCGATCTGACAGTACTACGAACGTGCCCTGTCAATCTACCAGCTAATACGCCGTTCGCTTATGTTGACATCATCACCGAAATGTCAAACGATACTAGGCGATTAAGAAACAAGTGGGACAGAACAGACACGATTCAGTGGGTCCGTTGCGAGCGGCCGATACTCTTTTTATGATATTTGCATATCTGCCAGTTCTTGGAACATTCATAGCCTCATCGGTTGAGGTACCGTGAACGCTGGAAAGGCCCAGATTAGTTTCAGCGGCGTGAGTCGTTGTGAAACCAGTTGTGGTCCGGGTTCCTTCGAATATCTGACTGCCGTGCGCATTGGTCAACCGACTCTTTATTCAGAGCGGTTAGCTGCGGCACCAAAGAGCTGTAGACAAGGCGACCAGTAATCTTTTGTCTCTTGTACAGTAGTCTCAAAGACAATTATGGAGATAGCTTCGTCGGACTCACGGGTTTAATAAATTACCGGAGCACGATGTCAGACATCCCATTAAATGTTTTTGTCAATACGGTCCATCAATTTACATGCGATTCGAACTAGATTGACAAGATGATAACTTACATAATTAAGTCTCAGACCTCCCTTATAGATCAGGGTGACGGATGTTTACTTCTTTTGTTACGGAGGTTCACCTTCTTCAAAAGACTTAAGATGTAATGGACAGTGGTTCGCACAGTTCACTAGTGAGTTTGCGAAGCGGTAGTGCAGGAATTCTACCAGGACGAAGCGATTTGACAGGCGCCCATCGAGTAACTCAGTCCTAACTTGGAGGAGAGGGAGAAGTGGTAGGAGGAGGCATTTGTTGGTGAACGGGTGGAGAAGCGGTATGAGAACTAAGCTCTCGGGTAAAGACGGACTGAAAGACATTAGAAAGGAGGGGTGCTTTGACCTGGCCATCGGTCTCCAGTATTCCGTTCGCAGGTCTGAGGGCAGGGACCAGGTTCTGATTTCTTTTAGTACTCAGCATACAGCCATGTAGGACTTTGGGGTGTTCTAGGGAGTTTTGCAGTGTTCAGTTCAAACTTTCTTGGAGACTTAGGAGCTCCACCCTCACGAATGGTGAGTCGTTGCTTATATTCCCGTAATTGCCCTTCGGAGCTGGTTAGTGAGTAACGCCCTCAAAAGCGATTTTTTCTTTGAGAGAGGCCCCGAAGTTCTAACTTATCCATTTTGTGTCGGTTTGCGCCTATCTATCTTCTGAGAGGACGGCTAAGGCAAACAGTCCTCCTCAGTAATTAACTGAAAGTATTCCAAAGGCCTCTTAGTCCTCAGTTCATTTCTGTTTTCCCTACACCTCTGAAACTTTCCTTGCCATAAGTGGATATTCCCCTTCTAAATGCCTCTCTCCCATATACAAGACGAAAATGGTTTGACAAACACTGAAAACTCGAAGTACAGCGCAGTATTTGGATGCTTGACCCTGTTGGCGGTCGAACCGGTAAGTCAAACGCATTTCTTCCTCGTGGACAAAGATGAGGTCAAGGCGATGTGACAGTTGTCCATTCCTGGCCCGTGTTTCAAAGGTAACGTTCTGGGAGGTGATTTTGTCCGTTGCCCATTGTAGTAGTTTGTGTTTCAAGTTATCTGCCAAGCACTAGAAAATGTCTGTTTGCCAATAAATATCAGGAGCATAAAAATCCCCAATACTATAGAGGTCTTTCTTCTCGCTGACTTTGTACTGTACAGGGATGAGAATGAGATCGTGGTCAGAATATTGGTTAGGCGAACGGTACGTCACCGAGGGCTTTAGAGGCCAAACGTGATTAGCGGATATGTGATGCTTAACGGTTCGACTTCCCTTATCGGATTATGCACCTAGGTCATAGCTGTTAGCTTCCAAGTGACGCAAATGATGACTGCTGCTCCTCAATTTGATCTGCCTCCTCTGAGGTGCTGGTATGTCGTTTGTGGTATTTTTGAACCTGTAATATCTGTAAAAAGCCACTTTTATGTGAAAATCCTGATCTTTAACTTAATTTTATCCGTTCAGTTTCCGAGTTTGTCCAGTTTGTGTAACAAGCCTTGTATATTTGCTGAGATGACCTTCAGTGACCGTTTTGCAGGGCAGGTTTAGCCCTTTATTGTGGTCTGTATGGATCGAGGAATGATTTCGCCATATGTACTGTTTGGCCATTCTTGAGTTTTGGCCTTTCCTCCACTCCCCCATCTCCTCCTTCAGTTTTATTCCTGACAGCGAATTCATCTTCTACCCATTCACCTGGATGAGTGTAGCTATACGTTTTACCAGTATCCTCAGTTCCGTCTTAGTCAGGATTAATTTCCAGTTCTTCGCCTGCTCGGTGCGTGCTACACTTGGCTTCATCGGCCGCTCAATTGGGTTTTGACTACACACCCTACTCTCGGGTTGTCGGACAAAAAACACAAATTGTCCGCAAACAAAAAAGAAAGGAGTGCAAATCTCTAAATCATTTAAAAGCAAATAGAATTAATGAAGCAGACGAGAAACAAAAAAAGAGGATTTAGGAGAAATCTGTTTGAAAATGTTCACAAAACAAAAAAACCGCAAATATGTCATCAGCATAGGGACCGTTGTATTTATCTTCGTGAGCTGAGTATGGTGAGCCTAGGGCTACATACCATTACTGTCATCTAAAAAAGTGGTTAGTATGCAAACTAAACAGACTCGTCATTTCGATGCACCTTCTTCCCCTCCTTTACCACGGACAGAAGCCGTTGAACCCATTGAAATCACTCTGTTATTTTCTTACAATCCATAGGGGTTTTTTCTTGCATCGCGAATAACGTTCACAATGTAATGGCACCTTATTACTTTTAACGAATACGTGCGCAGTTTGCCGCAGTCTGCTTTCTGGGAACCTGGGCTGTCCTATTTAGCACACTGGAGCTCCACAGACACGGGCTCGTGGTTATGTTCCGCCCCGAACGACGTGATTGGTAAGCCACACACCTTCTAATGCAATATGTTGACAAACACATCACAGCTCACACATCTATTCAGACAGAAGTAGGTAAAGTAAAGTTCCTACCTAACTAAAGCGCTCGTGTGCATTTTCCAATTAAGCGAAAAATGTGAATTTGTGCTTACAACATAATCGTTCGGACCTCTTGGATATTGGTTTACCTACCGGGGTTACCGTCGTGACTGTGGTCTACCGGGAACTTTTAAGAAATGGCTCGGAAAAAACGATCACCTAAAAGCGTTAACGTCTGATAGGAAACTCACCGGGGTCCCGGCAATTATTTAAATTATTTTTCCGCCAGTTGGACTGTTTGTTCCGTTAGCAGTCTAACCGTGCTAATTGTCAAAACGCTCTTATTCGACCCCAACAAACACACAAGACAGCGGTTTAAGATGTAGATTGTGAATTATTATTGACGACGGGAAAACTGCTTGGAGTTCAGACAGAATAGGCAACACGGGAGGTCTTTCGGCGGGGTCTAGTTGGCCTGGAAACGGTCCTCGGTTGGTCCGGAAAACGCGAAATGCGATGCTTTGTGTAGGCGTCGGGTTAGGGAGGACGCCCTCCAGTCCAAGATGCCTAGACAACAGTTGTCTTCGGTATATACGGGGTCTCCAGGCGGTGCTGGTAGGTATAATATAAAGACTAATGGGCAAGACTGAGCATGACAAGGAAAGGTAGGATAGTGCAGAGGATTGGCCACTAGGGTGATCGAGACCGAAAATTGCCATAAATAGAATTCTGGCAGTGGCCAGTAGGAATTAATTTGGAAGGTGGCTAGCGCGACATCATGGTTTCGGTGGAAAACCGGCAACGCGCCAGGTATCTAGCATGACGAAGCCAAAATAGGAAAAGATGTGGCTACATCCCCTCAGTTTATTGCTAGCGTTCTCTGAACGAGTATCAGTGGCTCAGATTTTCCCATACGTAATGCGGTTTACAGTAGCCCATGGTAACTGTAATCTGCCTATCTCAATATTTAGTGCATACTTATGAAAAATACACCAACACGTAATTAACTTGGCTTAAATCGCATACACTTTCGATTATGGGTTGCGAAAATTACTGTTCAATAAATTCTCAAAAAAATCAGCACATTTCTATCTCAACAACATGCGGATATTGGCATGTCCAGAAATGCGTATCGCCCGGATTTCGACTTTGGCCACATTGTCGAAGTATCGAGATAGAATGACGTGTGCGAAAAAAGACAGTTGCGCGATACACAACAAATAAATATTTCATACATGCCTTTTTCTTCTAATACTATTCGACACGCATTATGTTCACTCTTGTCTACTGTATACATCTAACTTGTTTTACCGTGTATTTGCCGGTGCCGATGACTTTGAAACCAAAGCCAAAGAGCAAACTGAGGGCCTATAAGACGTTGCGGCGGCAGGTGAAGCCCCGCGATTCGGTGAAGCAGTTCATTGCCCCACCAGTATTGTAAGACATATGGATGATATTTTTTGGAATATTTACTAGTAATATGTAGTAAACTAGGGAGAAATTATACAAAAATGCCATCTGCCACAGGACCGCCCTTGTAGCCCATAGCGAGGTGACGGCGCCTCGCTGTGGAAAAGTCGCGATAAAATGACCGATTTATAGCGGATTTTGTCCATGTGGTCGCTATGGAACCAATGGCGAAAAGTCGCGATACGGCGCTATGCAGCGGCTGGACGCCTTTCCTTAGCGACCTTTCCGTTTTAGCACCTACGAAAGCTCCTTTTCGCACTTCCCATCCGATTTATTACTAAACGACCTACGGTACCCCTCCCCCTCAAGAAAGTTGAATGAAGGAGTTTTGACGAAGTTGGAATAATGATTTATTATGAAAATATAAAATACAATTATTATCGGCACTATTCCTCTCGCGGCCGGGACGAGGAGGGTTCTGTTGAGGGTTCTAAACCAAGTATGTGTCATAATACTTCAGTTTCACTTACCATCAAAGTCATCAAGAAGAGAATCTGGCCGAGATCGCCTTTTTCGAAGGGCGTCGAGGGATATCTTCCGCCGCCTTGTACCTGTTAAATAAGGACGCGTCCTTATTTAACAGGTACCCTCATGCATGGGGGTCGCAGTTGACGGTTCTGGTGCGTGTTCTGAAAGCCAAGCATATGTAAGATATGTGTGCGGTTGACTAGCCATTTACGTCTGATGCTGATTGACTTCTTCGAAGTCTATTTCCGGCGGCGTACAGTGAGCCTGTTAGTCGTTTTGTAAACGTGGTTTTCAATGCATAGGTATTTGCGCGCTCCCCTCTTTTTCCTTTTTACGTAAATGTCTGTGTGGAGTAACTGTTAGGAGGATAAGCAGTAATTCGCATGTAATCTGTTCATATAGCATCGAGCTGCAAAGGGCCACCGTTTTTCTTGCGGCACCCGAAGTTCATGTCAAAGGCGATATTGCCATCAAATTGGGCACAAAATATGCGTTTAACAAAATCGTCTCTATTTCGCCCCTCAAGGCAAGCGAAATATAACTCCATTAGGGAAAGGATAAAGAGACTTATCCTTCATATCGGCTTCCTGTGGAGGTCTGTGTTCACCAACCTCATCTGCACCTCCGTAAAGTCTAACGAATGACGGATCAAGTAAAACATGTGAGTGCTGAGACAAATCGACAAGCGTTCGTCCTCTCGCACAAGTGTAATGTGGGGAATAATGAGACATAATGGGTTTGGTGGCAGTCGGAGTTAAGAAGAACGGTGTCAACGGAGGGGAGGGCGCGAAGTATTACACTCAGTTAACCGACCTTTGCCAATATGAATGCGGAGCTCGTACGAGATTCCTCTGTCCGTACAAGACCGGCTTATATAGCCTGATGACAGCTCTCTCTCTCTCTCTGGTGTTCCCAGCGGACGCTGACTCATTGACTTAGAGTAGTTCGGTGAAACCTTATAAATCACGCAAAAGGCTTCATTGGGGTCCACACGATGTCTGAAGTCAACAGTGTGTATGGGTATGGCCCTGCTTATGCTGTCGACTCCATTTTTTCTCGGGCATTTCAAAAAGTGTTACCGTATTTGGATAGGCGACTAATCGTGCGAGCAATCTGACTTTCTCCACGGGAGCAGGGAAAAGAGTAAGTGTACATGGAGGTGGTCTACGTTGGCAGCCTGTGTTTACCTTCGTATAAGATTGGGTTAGTCGAGAATAATGCCCTTACTTTTGACGCTAAGAAGGTGCATAAAACAAGCTGGTCAAGGCGTATTCGCCGAGGTTCCCTCGCCACGTCCCCTTAAAGTCTTCTTTGAGGAACAGCTTCCATTTTCGCCGTGAATGCGGTGCGTTTTGCTGTTTCCCCGACAACATAATATTCTTTGCAGTAAGTCGACCTGGATACCCATTCTTGCGGAACAGATCATATATCTTTTTAAGATGCTTGCCGATGGTGTGTGACAAACAAATTTTTTCAGCCTTTTGTGCCAAAAATCGAACTAGAATTTTTGTTCTGCTCGCTATCAGGGAGTAAGCGTCGTGCATCATTTCTCGGTCTTGTGCACACATATACTAGTAGTCCCACTCCACTTATGAAAGTCAAACTTACCGCCTGTTGAGCTGCCACCACCACCACCACCACCACCACCACCACCACCACCACCACCACCACCACCACACCGACCGTCCCTTTCGTGGAGGTGATCATGTGGCCTCTTGAGCTCTTGAAGGCCATCCGATTCCCTTTTAAAAAGCCTAAGTAGGACATCTGAGCCATGCTTTTCGGGCACAGAAATGGCATTACCACTTGTTGCTTATAAATACTGTCCCCTGTGATTACAGTAAATCACGGAAGGTCCTCCATCGTCACGATAGTGCAATATTTAGGCTGTAGATAACAGCGGCGCTATTTATGGATGGCGTTTGTCGCATATTCTCCTGACTATCAACCGCCAGCTGGCTATACAGTTTTCTCATACTTTTCTGGGTTTAATGGATCCCTCTCCCCAATTTCCTGGGATATCTTCCAAAAATCTGCCTTTTGGAAGGACTATCCTTGCTGCCTAATATTTTCTATGAGGGGAAGTGTTAGAGATATGCTGACGTATGAGGTAGGGAGGACCATACCCCCTAGCAGCGTTCCACTGGGTGAGCTGCCCCCATTTTCCGAATCCTGGTGATAGGATGGTAGACGTCTCAATGACTTACCGACAAGGACGATAAGAATGGAATGCCACCGATCCCTCAAGTCTTTTCGTCTTAACGCTGCTTCTTCTAACAAGGCGGTCGGTTCTCTGAACGTGGTAAGTCACATGACACGAGGAGTAATAGGCGTGCGTATGACGAGTTTGCCTCGACAGAACGAGCACACACGCAGTGTGGCTGCATCCGACCTGCATGTCACCAGGACCTGAAGATGAGTAGACGAAACGACCACACGAAACGT